GCAGCTTCTGGCCATTGTTCCTCGTCACCCCAGGTGCTGCTGGGGGGAATAGGATTCTTCCTATTTGCTGCTGATCTCCCCTAACAAGTTTGTAGGCATCCACCAAATCACCCCTCAGACTCCGCTTGCTGTGGCTGAACAGGTTCAGGTCCCTCAGCCTCTCCTCACAGGGCCTGCCCTGATGCCCTCCAACCAAGCAGGTGGCCCTCCTCTGAACCCTCTCAAGGCAGGCCACATCCTTCTTAAAGTGCGGTGCCCAGAACTGGACGCAGTACTCCAGTTGAGGCCAGACCAATGTCGCACAGAGGGAGAGTATCACCTCTCTGGACCGGCTTGAGATGCATCTTTGGATGTACGACAAGGTGTGGTTGGCTTTGCTGGCTGTGGTCTGGCATTGGCGGCTCATGTTCATCTTGGAGTCAATAATGACTCCAAGATCCCTTTCTGCTTCTGTATTCACAAGTGGGGAGCTCCCCAGCTTGTATGTATGCTGTGGACTCCTTCTCCCCAGGTGCAGCACCCTGCATTTATCTACATTGAAGCCCATCCTGTTACCATCCACCCACTTCTGTAGTCTGTCTAAGTCCAATTGCAGCCGCTCTCTCCCTTTGAGCGTGCCTACCTCTCCCCACATCTTGGTGTCATCAGCTAACTTGGACAACGTGTTTTCCCCCCCTCGTCCAAGTCACTGATGAAGCTGTTGAACAGTGTAGGCCCCAGGACCGAGCCCTGGGGACCCCACTGTTGACATCCCGCCAGGTCGAGTATGACCCGTCCACCACCACTCTCTGGGTGTGCCCCATCAGCCAATTTTTGACCCATCCAACTGTGTAGGCATCAATGCCATAGTCGCTCAGTTTATTAATGAGAATGGTGAGAGACAGTGTCAAAGGCCTTCTTAGTCTAGAAAGACTACGTCCACGGTGACACCATCATCCAGGGATTTAGTTAACTGGTCATAAAAGGCTATCAGGTTGGTCTGGCAGGACCTGCCTTTGATGAACCCATGTTGATTTCCCCTGGGCATGATCTCTCCTGCTGGCCCCTCACAGATGTGCTCCTTGATAATTTTTTCAAGGATTTTCCTCAAGACCGATGTGAGGCTTATGGGCCTATAGTTTCCTGGATCCTCCTTTCTCCCTTTCTTATAGATGGGAACCACATTAGCTAGTTTCCAATCTAGTATTCTGCCATATCATATTAGCTCATCAAAACTGTGAAGATTTGTAATCCTTTCTACCTGTGCTGCTGCAGAGATGTGTGAAGTTGTGCATCAGTCAGCAGCAGAATAGAACTGAGCCAGCAGAGCGTCTATGTCAAAACACTTCTGAATGGCAGATCTGTGGATCTTCAAAAACCGTTTCATTGGGGAAGCCAAACCTAAGTTCCACCACCAAAATCAGTACAAATGGGAAGCACCTATACAAGAGGAGCATGACCTCAAAGCCTTTGGCTCAGAAAGAACATTTAAAATTCTTTCTGCAATCAGCAGCCAAGCCTGCCGTACTAGCTTAGTAGGAGATTAGTTTGTTCTGTTTGATAGTGATGATATTTTCTTGTTGGAACAGATGTATTCAATTTCTCAACCAGGATAAAAACAAAAACATTGGGTTTTGTAACAGCCAACCTCTTTAACATCAAAAGTGTCTCAGGCACTAGAAACGATTTATATCTGGAGCAATTGTTTAATACACTGAGCCAAATTCTTATCTCAGTTATGCTTTTGCAAATCCTCTGAAATAAAAAAGGGTTACATTCATATAACTGAAAAGTCCCTATATAACCCATGACTACATAGTCCTTTGTACTGGGAATGGAAAAATCTGTGAATTACTTTTATAAAACAGAATAACCGAACAAGTTATTTGTGTCAGTAGAGCAGCATAACAATACCAAAATGAGCAGGCTAGCCAAAGGGCAGTAAAATATTCTGTTAAGTGAGTGAGGGAATATTTAGAAGGTGGCAGGGGGAGAAAATTAATGGAAGGACATTAGATCATTTGAAATATAAACAGCCTTCTAATCACTGTACATTATGTTCCCTCTTCGTTTCACGGAGTTTCCAAACACCCACCTATTCTGATAAGCATTTCAGCTTCACACAACATACAATAGATGTTTATTGTGCTTACACACACAGTCTTCTCTGTACCATACTATTCTTGTAAATACTGGTCTTTGGGACTAATTTCAGCCCTGGCATAAATAGACAAAGTTCTTACGTACTTAACTAGGTCTGTTGTCCGCTTGCCCCAGACCTAAATGTGAGTATTTGTTAAACTAAAAATTCCTTGCAAGAACAAATATAACCTGTTAGTATTGAGGGGAGTGGTGTCATGTACCGTGATGGCATTATATGAGTGACCTGTCATTTTATATTTCCAGTATTTGTTTACTGCTGGCCATATAGCAGGAAATTCTATTTCCCAAGACTGAACTAAGATGAACTAGTTTCTAAATCAGGGGTGGGCAATTATTTTAGGTGGAGGGCTCCTTAACAAGTTTTGGTCAACTGCCAAGGGCCCCTGGGGTAGCCCCAGCTCTTGACAGTTGCCCCACCCCTTGTTGCCTACTTGGGACCGACAGTCCCATCCCCTAGCCCCTGACCCTTGCCATGGAAAGTCCTTCCCCCTGTCCTCGGGAAATACTCTTTTTGGGAGGAAGGGGTTGCCATCTTAGAACCAGAAAAAAACCAAGTCATACACTAAAAGTCAAATACCCACTATAATATATTTTAATTTTATTACAAAAAATATTTTTGTCACGATTTGTGTTTGCATAGTGTATATAGAAGTGACTGAATAATAACTCAAAAATAAATTCTTAGTTTTGTATATTGTGGGGGGGTGTATGGCAGGGTGTGTGCGCGTGTGTGGTACGATGTAGGGGGAGTATAGGGTATGTTGGTGGTTGTGTATATGTGAGGGGCTGTGGGGGCAGGCTGTGGGTGTGAGGGAGGTTGGGGGGGGTGTGGGGACCCACCCTGCACTCCCCCTAAGGTGCAGCAGCAGGTAGGGCATGGTTCTGGCAGTGCTGCACACTGCAGAAAGGGGCACAGGATTCATTGGGCTGCCGCCGCTTCCTGACACTTGCATGCAGCCCCTGCAGTCGCACAGAACAGGAAGGAAGCCCTATGTGCTGGGGACAGTTGCCTTCCCTGCCGGGGCTGTCAAGCACTGAAGAGAAGCCTCAGGCTGGAGCTGGTTGCCTTCTCTGCCCCTCAGTGGAAGGTGCCTGGGGCTTCCCTCCTGTGCAGAGAAGGCAGCCAGCTCCAGCGCCTGAGACTTCTCTCCAGTGCTGTGCAGTCCTGACAGGGAAGGCAGCTGGCCCCAGCACGCGAGGCCTCCCTCCCATGCCCGGCGAGTGCATGGTTTACATGCGAGTGGTGGGGAGCACCGATGATACAGGTGGCCTGGGGGAGGCTGCACTCCTTGCTATGATATACAGCGCTGGCCAGAGGCATGCCCCACCAGGGGTCTGCACCCTGAGTGCCCCACTTCCTGCTGTTGCTACTACCTGCCAGGGCTCTGCACCATGGGGAGGGGGAGTGTGGGAGGTCCCCACACCCTCCCACTCTCCCTCACACCCACATCCTGCCCACCCCAGCTCCACACTGTCACTGCCTTGTTCCCCTGGGTGCGGGCTCTGCGCTGCCACCAGCCCAGCCCCATGCTCCATGCTCCCACCCAGCTGCAGCCCCGGCCCCGCTGCTTCCCCACCTGCTGCCCAGAGCAAGCTGGAGACTGGGGAAGCAGAGCAGGTTGCCGCAGATTGCAGCAGCAGCCCCACACAGAACCCGCATGCTGGCCAGCTGGGCCCTTCCACCCACAAGGGTCGGAGCCAGGCATTAGGGTAGGTTTCTGGGGCAGTGTGTACACATGGGCCCCTCGTTTCCACCCTTGTGGATGGAAGGGTTGGGTGGGCACAATTTGTTGGGGCACCCTGTATGCCAGATAAAAGTATTTGGCGAGCCAAATCCAGCCTGCGGGCTGTATTTTGCTTGCCCCTGTTCTAAATGATTAACGATCATAGAATCTATCACATATCACTGAAGAAATCTTATGAGTGCTAAAACAAGCCTTTTATACAACCTTAATATTCAAGAATTACACACCAGTATATTTGATGCAGTTTCTCTTGCATGAGCCCATAAAATATGCCAAGTTTTGACTAGTTCAAATGAACCTAAAATCAGAAATTCAGTCACCTTCAAATCTGTGCTAACATTAAAAACCTTTCTGAATCAAGACTCTTTCCAGTTTGCTAAGGTTGAATTAGTTCCTTACTACTGTAAGTTGCCACTACTATCAGACTTCTGCTATGCCAGTGTTTGTTAACCTTTTTAGGCTCAACACACCCCTTGTCAGACTCAAGGAAATTTGATAAGGCACCTCTCAAAGTGTCAGCTCATTACTTTTGTTGCAAAGAATTCAGAAAGACCACACCAAGTAAGAATGTTTTTAACATTATCAATTCTTATTTGAAATCTCTGGGTTTATCTTGTGCATCATGTCTTCACATCTGACAGTGCTAACGTTGTGCAGCACATGGTGTCACCCTTGAAAGGATCTCAAGGCACCCCAGCGTGTCATGGTACTCTGGTTGAGAATCACTGTATTAGACCCCACCATTTACTTCCTTTAACTTCCAACACTATCAACCAGTCTTAAAGAACGACCATAATGCCTTACTCTACTAACAAAACAATGAGGATCTCCTATTTATTGTTTCCTTTTTTCAATGAAGGAACACCACAACAAAATATTTGCCTTCTCACATTCTACACAATAGATGCATGTGCTCTATTAAAAAATAACAAGCACTGTATATTTTGCTTTGGCAGTGCCAGAAACATTGTGCAAGGTGAAATATCTTATCCCAAAGACAGAGCATGTCATGTCAATACGTTTGACTTGTTCCTGTATTAAAAACTTGTATTTTTTCAAATTTTATAATGCATTGTTTTTCCAAACATAAAAGTGTATGACATATAACCTTACCATACTTGTAGCTTTGATGTAAATATTATCTTTCAGATGGCAATTCCCATCATTAGGAATTACTATCCCTCCCAGTTTACTATCCAGGGCCAGATGTGAGGTTTGATCTGTCATCACAAGAAGTAGTCGCTTTGCTTCCTTGCGCCAACCAATATGGCTCTAAAATAAAAAGCAAAACACTGCAAGTGTGAGAATGAAATTTAGCTTCTTTGCTTCTGTAATGGTAAATGCGACTAGGAAAGGCCATCATAAAAGCTTCTTTTTCAGGTTTCTGCACTGCTTGAAACATAAGCACTGAATTAGAGTTTAGGCATGTAGCCAAGTAGGTCAAAGTAGTTAAAGCACTGATTCTTCCTATGCAGGGCCTTAAACATAATGATTTGACCTTGACAAGCATTTATGTGAGCAAATCTTGCAAATGTCTAAATCATTGGCAGGACTGCAAATTAGGTTCACAAGCTTACAAGAAACAGATTCTGGTAGTATCCTCTATACCTTATAAGCAAATTAAATGCTATGATATTTATTTTTCTTGGTTCTGAAGAATCACTTGTAGAATAAAATAAGTCACAGGCATATTGAGCTGTACTTGGTGTGCTAATACAACATAAATAGAAAACAGCAGTTGTGATGTTGCATATCAACTTATTTGGATGACGGTTATAAAATTCTTAAAAATGTATATTACTATACATATAAAACACACATTCATCTACAGAACTGCTTTATAGCTAGCATCCAAATATGTTACATTTTCCTCTTATTTTCAATTTAGTATCTTTTTTTTTTTTTATAACTTGCTTTCACTATAGTTTCTCCAAGGGGATTCAAACATACATTCTAGTAACCAAAGTTTTAATATTAAAAAAAACACAACTATTGGTATCTTCACACATCTGTAGGGTGGGGAGTCCCTTATGGTGCACCAGAAGCTGACTGTTTGTAAGGTCTCTACTACCAGCACAGTAAAAGAAATCCGGTAGGGAGGCATCATCAGAAGCAACAAGAATGAAAATATGTTCCCTGGTATACAGTTGTCAGGGGGATCCTCCAAGTACAGAAATGGGTGGGGTATCAACTCATGTTCTCTGGAATTTTACTTTGGTGCATAGGATAAATAGCTGACCAAGCTCAAATTTGAAAGCTTTGTGCATAAAAACCATCTTTCATTCCTTTTCCTTTAATTTAACCCCCTCCTTCATTCCATTTGACTTGTCACTCATTCATTTCCTCCTATTCCTCCCACTTTATTCACCACTGCATCATCTCTACCACTTCCTCTGCAGAGCTGTCAAGTATCCTGCCTTGCGCGAGATGCACAAAATGCACTTCAAGGATGGTCAGCTGCTCCTCTTGACTATGAGGAGCTGCTGCAGGACCTTTTCTGAAAACAAGAGCTCTACTTTCCTTCTCACTTCACTTCCTGATTGATCTGAGTACAGAAGGAGCAGCTTGTGGTGGCTGTAGGTAATAAAGGTGAACAGGGTCTAGTGGCTCTCCAGCTTAAATGCCAGCATCTGTAAAGCCCATTCACAGAATCACAAAATCATAGAAAAGTAGGGCTGGAAGAGACCTCTAGAAGTCATCTAGTTCAACCCCCTGCTGAAGGCAAGATCATCTCTATCCTAATTATCCCATACAAGTTCTTGCCTAACCTGTTCCTTATACTACACAGTCAGCCTTGTTGCACAAGGCATGTTGCCCAAATACACCAAAAACACCCAAACCTGCCACAGGTAAAGCAGGGGGATGAGAACTATGCATTTCCCACCTTTGCAAGGACTATTAAAATACACTTAAGAAATCCAAGGAGGATGGATCACGGCAGAGAGCTTCCTCCATCTTTGACTCACCCTCCACAAATTTTCCATTCTACATCCAATTTCACTTTCAAAACTCAGAACCCACTCGACAACCCACCCTAGACTCCCTCTGGCCCACTCTGGTGAAGACTTGTGTAGTTGCATGTTCTACTGTGCCACTGCCTGGGACTGGATATGTTGACTACAAACTCAATATGGGCACAGACAATGAACCCTTTCAATCTTTGCATAAAAATCTCAAATGGTGTGGCACAAATCTTGTCAATTATGACCCTCAGAAGTACAGAAATGGATTAAACACTTGAAATGTGGTACCTCTTTTCAAGTCAAAAGGAATGTAAAATTGCAGGATGGAGAAGAGAGGGCTGTTCAGCAATATCCCACATAATTAAAGCCACAACACTATAAATGAATGAGAAATGAGTTTATGAAACAGAAGAGTTTATTTCTTTTCATTGTTATTCTTCACTCTCTAATTTGTAAATTTGGTAACTGGCAATATGCCTCTCAGAGCACATCAGAAAGTCTACTGTGTTCAAAATTAGTGTCTATTAATATAAATTACAACTTGTGTTTGTGGTTATAAATTGCACATTGTTCCCATCAATTTTTATCCATAATTCAATTAACTGGAAGGACTCCCTATGCACATAGATGTTTCCATTCTGTTGTTCTTGGAGGCATACACACTCCTTTCAAACTTGAATGTCATAAGTATGGAATGTGTCCAATGATAAACATTTAGTTGTGAGAAATCCTCCCAATACTTCAGGATGATTTTTATAACAGCTGTGATCAAGATGTCTATGTGCTGTGATTTTTATTTACCCATTTTACAGTTGTCTTTTAAAAATAAAAATGGGGCCAACATTAGTATGAGTTTTTTTTTCTAAATTCACCCACCAGCCACAAAGCAATGTATAAATGGATGAAAGGGATAAAGTATTCTGACCCAAACTTTTCAACATGACCAGCACAAGTGCCCTCAGCCTGCAAAGTTAAACAGGCAGTGACTGTATTATCTTATGTAGCAAAAGGTATGAGATCGGAAGGACATTTAGAGAATGTGAAGATCAACTGCCCTATGCTTTCTGGTGTCTAGACAAAGGTACTCTAGCCAACATCAGACTTTGCTCTCCCCATCCATCTTTTTTGTTGATTTAGTCCATTATTGCTCAATCTCAATGGGACCAACATAATTTTAAACTATAAGTTGGGGACCACTGATGTAGATCTTTCTTCACTCTCTTCTAGTCTGAAATAGATGGTGATAATTCTGTGTCTAAAATTTGAGGTGATTTTACTGTTCTAATTACTAACCCAGAACACTCTGCCTTTACACGAGTCAAGGTGGCTATTTTCCATCATGAGTAAAGATGGTTTTCAGGTCAAATATGATCCTTATTTACTGTACCTCTTACATTCAAATTATAGATTTAATAATTGGATAAGTAAAACTGATTGGATAAAACATTTTTACTGATGCTGATAACTCTGCAGTCAAATCTGCCATTGTTCATTCTTGCTTAGCCAGAAGAACCAACAGAACTGAGTAAAGAATAATTTTTTTTTAAATAAAAGGAACAGATTTTCTGAGTAGCAAAACATCATTAATAATAATGAATGAGCCATCCCTATCTGGTCCTGCCCCAGATTCTATAAAGCTTTGACTAATGGTTAAACAATGAGAAAATGCTTTTGTCAGGAAGAAAAACAACAGTAGGAGCTGTTACAACATCATAAGGCTGGACATCAAATACCATTGACTCACAAATATGAATTTGTATCTGAACTGCCAGTTCAGAAGTCTCCTTACCTGGCACACAGCTGCCTGGAGCATGGCATCAAAACCCCCTTCAGGTGTATCAATATTCCCTGAAATTTTTTGTTTATTAACTGCATTTTTGAAGTCTGCTATATTGTCAGTCAGGGACAACACATGAATGTAACCATGAGGAGGCATGCAATCTAAATTATAATCACTGTAAGAGGAAAAAAAGACAATCAAATTTTACATTCTTATTTGAAAGGAATCTTAATAACCGCAATAGAAATCAGGTTTTATGAAATATTTGAAAATATACTTAAATATTTAACACACATTGTATATTTTTTAAAACATGCAATAATTTCATGATAAAAGGTCTTTATTAGGTGCACTAGGGCTATAACTATTTCTTATATATATACTGACTAAAACAATTAAAGGGTTTTTGGGTAATTATTTAAAAGTGTATCTAATAGTTCATAAAACTATAACAAACAACAATAGGTAAGTATGCAACACTGCTGTGCACAAATTAACATACAAAAGAACGATGGTAAAAGACAGTACCACCTCATGCAGAACGTTATTTGTTTCTGAATCCTTAAGGAATGAAAGAACTAGACTTAAGATTCAAATTTCTAAGTAGCCAGATAACACTAAGGGCAGCTTATCTTACCACCACACAAATCAATCTACAGGATCAAAACCTAAACCAGCAAATCTAAGGTCCTAGATTCATAAGTATGATACTTGCTGATATTAATGTGTTACCTAGCTCTGTGGATATAAATCAGTCTCAGACGTTAACAATATCTTTTACAACTTTATGTTGAGAAAGCCTTGAGCAAGTAGTACGAGGTAATTCTAGAGCCTTTATTTATGCTCTTGCCGAGCAACAGACTTCATGTACATGAAAAAATGTTTTACTGGATTTGGAGATCTAGTCCCTCATCTACGAGTCACTGAAGGAAAAGTAGTGGAAAGCTACTCAATTAATTTGAAGAACTGTGGATCAAGGCGTCACACAAGAGTTAATGCGTGACAACAAAAATCATATAATCATAGAAAATTAGGGTTGGAAGGGACCTCAGGAGATCATCTAGTCTAACCCCATTCTTAAAGCAGGACCATCCCAGCTAAGGTTTTGTCTAGTCCCCCAAGGATAGAGATTCCACAACCCCTTTGGGTAACCTGCTCCAGTGTTTTACTACCCTCCTAGTGAGAAAATTCTTCCTAATATCCAACCTAAACTTCCCTTGCAACTTGAAACTGTTGCTCCTTATTCTGTCATCCACCATCACTGAGAACAGTCTAGTTTTATCCTCTTTCAACCCCCACCCTTTTACAAATTAATTTTTAACTTTTTTATATCATTTTAGTGAATTGGTTTACATGTACATTTCATTAGACATATTGTGAAGTTGTTTTCTAGTAAGGTTGGACAACAACCGTTCACCTTGCATAAATGATAAATGCAGTGGACAAAGTGTATTGGATGAACAACAACAAAATCCCCTGGTTCAACCCTGCATTCATATTTTACATAAAATGGGAATTTGACTAAATAAAAAAGTTGTTTTATCAGGGCCAATGGGTCATTTCCGTTTGTTAAATCAGCTCAAAGAACTAACACAGTACAAGGACAAAAGGAATAATTTAAAGAAAAGCATTTAGGAACAAAGAACTTGATGCAATGTTCTGTGTCATCAAGTCTAGTCTCCGATATCCAGAGCAACCACATCTTTTAACCCCTTTCATAAAAAGTTTGGAATGGAAATAGGCACAGACATGCAAAACAATCAGATTATCATTGTCTTGGCTATGTGTTTTAAATGAAAAGTATGTTTTAAAATGCAACAGAAAGCTTATATATTTAGGCTTTAGTAAGTTTATATCTATGGCTGTGTGCAGATGAAATGGAGGCCCTAAATTGAAGCGGTGGGTTTAAAAAAACACCGCTTCAATTTAGGGCCAATTAAAGCCCTGTCATGCACACACCTCACTGATTTAGCTGCCTCTCCAGCGGGGAGGGGAAGGTGAGCTGCCAGCAAGTGGAGTGGTCCCTGGGCTGTGGAGGGGGGCTGGCGTTTCCCTCTGCAGCAGTGGCAGCCCCCTTCCAGGCAGCACACGCCTGCAGGCACCCAGCTTGGGTGTTCCTGGGAAGCAGTGCTGCTACGGAGGAAAGCACCAGGCCCCCCACTCAGCTCAGGCAAGCAAGCAGGCTCTGGGGGCTGGAAAAAAAAAAGATCAGACTCTCGGCTTTTCTTGGGCAGAGCTGCTTTCCCAAGATGCTGTCAGGCTGCCTGCATGGAGCCTGGTGCTTCTGTCCATGGCTGTAGGGGCAGCAAACTAAAACTCCTCAGAGGAGTCTTAGTTTGCTGAACCCCAAGTCATTTATGGTGCATTATGCTGCTGAGCTTCCTACAGTGGCTGGAATTAATGCGCAATATGCTGCCGAGGCGTGCAAACACCGACACCATTAAAGCCGTGCAAAAGCATTTAGCCCGCTTTAAAGTGTCATGCATACACACCCCTCGTTTCGTCTACACATGGCCTATATTTTTGCTTTGCTTCCTAAAAATCCCTTTTTGCCCACTTTAAATACAATCATGGGAGGAATGGATGAGAGAAGCTTTTTTTCTATACAAACAGAACACTTTGGAAAAGCAAGTGATATCAAAATAGAAAAATATCCTGATAAGGTATTAACGTTTATAAAAACTATAACACATTTACTGAAGTAATTAAACACATAAGTTCCATTACCTGGTATTACTCCATTACTCAGAGAAACATAAAATTACTACATACCTGCACTGATTATGGATTCTACCTGGGTGAGTGCTAATATAGGGTGACACAGTTTTATCAACATACGATCCAAATCCAAGTCGAAAGTCCAGGGAAATGTTCGCCATCTTTTTAGATAAATCAAATCCAACTGAGTTTAATTTTTCTATATTGTTGTGCATAGAAGCTGAGACATCAACTAAATAATAAAGGTCCACAGGATATTTCTCTAGAGGGCGAATCTTTAACATGAAGCTTGTTTTTCCTCCTGGTTCAAAAGAAACAAATAAGTTTTACAGTATTTTTAAGGGCTTATACTGAAAAAATAAATGCATCTGCCACAGTACCTATAATGTACAAAAGATTTGCAAGCGAAGCAGAAACATTAATTTAAGAGAGAAAATGTAGTGTTTAAATATAGACCAAGAGTAATAAAGCGCCTGTTTGTAAAACATACTTAATATTTTTGATGGACTCTGCAGCAGTTTCTTGTTAAAAGTTTGAATTCCCTCCCCATCCCCATTTTTCCTTTAGTTTATGTTATGCAATCTATTTTCCATTTATTGCAAACAGCACCTATGACTCAAGAGATGCATGGATATGCATACAAATTGTGGTCAGTCACTTCTGGGCTGACAATAGTTAAATGATCCAGCTCACTTTAATAATAAATCAATCCCAAGAACGAAAATGTCTAAAATGAAAACTAAAATCCCCCTCTCCTTACTGCTCTATATATAGTTTCAAGTTTACCGCAAACCTGTTTCCAAAGAAGTCAGTAACATATATTTCAAGGATCAAAGAAAAAATAAATGTAGGTTGAAAAGAGAGTTGGTCTTTCATCTCAGTATGGCAAATGTCCATCTGTCCAACAGAGCAACACTGCAATTTTTTTTTTTTATGTAAAAAAACCCAACAGTCCCTACACTATTGATTGCCAAAATACATTATTCATCAGTTTTTACAATGCCAGCACAAGAGAGTAACATGCTACTCACTTGTGTACTCATAATTTCAGCATTCTGTACATCTGAATTATTTCTTATCGTATTTATTCAAATAGAAGAGGATTCTAATTATAAGACGACCCCCCCCAATAATTAGATACTATATATGGCAAATTTATAAATTTGTTATAATTTTCCAAGTATAGAATCTAATTATTGGAGGTTTGCCTTATATTTATCCCCCTCCCACTGCTACAGCAGGGAAAATAATTCTGGTGGGGTCAGGTAGCCCTTTGCTCTCTGTTTCCCCCCAGCTTTTTCCCCTGGCAACCTCCTTCCCTCTCTTCTTACTGCTCTCCCTGAGCACATGGAAGGGAGAAGTAAATCTGAAAACAATGACCATGAAATTAAATATGGCTGTAGCCGTTTGCATATAATACCAATGCATTTAGTTTATCCAGGATTGATGCATGTTATCATTTTTTTAAACTGCTGCAAATTTTGGCATAAGTACTTCATAAACAGTCTAGAGGTGCACCGATACATCGGTCCGTATCATATTGGCACCAATAAAAGGAAAACTGACATTATCGGCAACTGGCTTTTTTTTAGCTGATGTGGTCAATAATGTCACCAATAAATATCATGTGCATGTACACAGTTGCAGTGTGTACACAGCCAGGAATGCAGCCTGGCAGCTTAGAGAGCAGCATCTAGCCAGTAAGTCTGTGGGGGGAAAGAGGCAGGGGAGGGCAGATCGAGGCCTCTGAGGTGATGGGGGGAGTGGGGCTGGGGTTCGGGTGGGGCAGGGGCAGGCATGGCACAGCTGAGGTGGAACTGTGCACAGGACAGAGCCACAGCTCATCCATGGTATGTGGGGGGGGGGAGGGGAGAGGGGGCAGCTCTTGTCACTGGGCACACCCCTGGGGGGGGAATGTGCTCCCAGATCTTTGCGCAGGGCAACAGTGGGCTGTCTACTGCAAGCTCAGGGCCAGGGGCTGTGCTGGCAACTTCCCACCAGGGAGGCTGGACTCAGGCTACACTCAGGACGATGTATTGCAAACAGCACCTATGACTCAAGAGATGCATGGATATAAAGCTAACACGCCATATGCTGAAATAGAATAATTAAAAAATGCATAAGTAAAATGCTTCTCTAGCTTCATGCCAGACACTAGAAAATAACAACACTGTTATGCAAGATGAATAGCTAGCGTCACCTGGAGAATTTAACAGAATTGCACCAACTCACACCAGTCACGCATTAGTACATCAAATGAGTGTCATATAAAAAGCCAAAATGTGTTTGTTATTACACATGTAATAACAAACAACTCCCTTGGATATAAACTAAGCAGAATGTGGATTCTGATATTCAGTTTCTAGTTATTTCAATCTTCTGACCTTACCATATGACAAAATACAATTTATCACAACTCTTGCTCTAGAGAGGCAGATGTTCATTTAAGACCATGACAGCTGTAAACTTATTTATGTTTATAATAAGAAGATTATTTAAACTGGATTTTTAGAAGCACCATGCATTATCCCAACAAGTCTCACTGCCCTCCTAAATGAATTCAATTGCAATTCCTTCTAGAGACAAATTCAAGATCCGTACTCAATATGAGCAGCACCTCACTCTACAAATCCTGAAGTCAATGGGATTTTACTGCTCCATGTGCACTGGATGACAGTGCTTCCTTTCAAAGAAGTGGAAGTACTGGCAGTGGTTATGTCACAGGTTTATTAATCCATGGGGTGGAGAAGATGGGGGCTAGCACTCACTTGTTCTTCGACCTTGAAGTTTCTTTCTTTGCTTTCTGCCACTGACAAATGAAAACTCAGGTCATTTACTACAATCAGATGTAGCAAGAGGCATGGAGATGCCTCACTTCATTTCTATGCCCTCGGAACTTTTCTATAAAAGTATCCTGACTGCTCCTTAAGTGTTATATTTTTATGAACTGTAGCTATAATTGGTATAGTAGGGATACAGAAATCCACTTTTAGCCTTATACTAATATCAAGTCATCTCCTTCTAAGCTATAGTCAGCTGAGATGCACATGACCACACATATATGATAATGACCTAATTCAGCAGTGGGCAAATTCAGAGTTAGAGTCCTACAGGGATAGTTCAGGATGTGGCACCTAACTCCTCCTTTATGCAGGTAAATCCACAACTCAGATCCTCAAAGCCCCTACTCAGTTTCTACCCAAAATTTAGTGGCACCTACATTTCTCAGTTCAGAGTTCTGTGCATTCCCAAAAGAACTCAGTCTTAACAGTGCTGTCTAGCTCAGCAACTCGGCCCCATCCAGACACACAAACCTGGCATTCCTCTACCTAGTTAGACGGCATGGCCCAGTCTGGGAAGCATTATTAAATTATGTCTAGTATGTTGGATGCCATTATTCCACTACTTTTCTATTCAACATCTCATTGCTTAAAGAATTCACCCCAAATGTCACAGAGCCAAAATCAAGTCTCTCCTCTGTGGGGGATATGAACCTACGTCTCCCAACTCACAGGAGAGTGCCCTAACCACCAAGCTACTCCATTCCTTCTTGGACCAAAATATTCACACTTTTCTATAAGAACAATAGTCCCATATGAAGAAAGATAACACCCTTACCAGGCTTACTATTTACATTGCTGTAGCCTTCAATGGCATTTAAAATTCTTATTCTTCTGTCAAAGGCATCAAGAGATACAGGCAACAGGCCAGGACAAAAAAGTGTAGTAATTCTAAGGTTAGAAGGCCAAATTGTGCTGTCTCTGCTGTCTCAGATGCAAAATTTGCTCATAATTTACCACAAAATTTAGCCTGTGGCATACCAGTGAAGGAAAAAAAAAAAAAAAGTGTTCAGGAGTGCAAGACCTATCCCAGCCCAAGTTTTGTCTAGATGGGTCTTGAGAACCTCCAAGGATGGAGTTTACAGTGACAGAGGTCGGGTGAACAACTATGGGCCAGCCCTGAATGGCAGTATCATGACTGAGCTGGCCAGAAATTTGAGAAAAGAAGGATGGAAATATGAGTGAAGTTTTTTTGTTTTGTTTTTTTAAAGTAAACCATTTCAAGTTGATGTTCCAAGACTAATGAGATAGGATCTGCATGGATAGCACCATTCTGTGAATTCATGATTAGAAGACTCCACTAACCTCTCTCTTCTGAAGGACACAATTTGTGGGTTTTGGTTTGTTAGGCTTTTTTTTATTTTTGTGGTTAGTTTTGCTTTTTTGTGGCTTCAAGGATTGAATGGTGCATGTTCTTTTCCCCTTCTGTGTGCTATTCATCACATGAGATGGCACAACACATTACGTGCAAAAATATGTAGGTGTACATTGCACATTACAAGATTATTTTAATTGCATAAGAGCTGGGAAATGGTTAGGAACCACAATAAATCTTTGTTTTAAACTGTGTGAAAACAACATATTTCATTATTGTCACTGAAGTACTTAGTTTATTCATACAAAAAAAGTTAACATTTCCGATTCAATATACTCAACAACTTTAAATGTCTTTTTTGTTTTGATTAAGTGAATGAGTGCACACTAAGTTAGTTTGTAATTAAAGAAAACTTGTTTGTTAGTCACCTGTATAAACCTAACATGATGAGTTATTTTAATTAAGTAAATTCCACAAAAATACTGTAAAAGGTGTCTATCACCACCTTGACAATACTATTCTTGCAAACCCAGTAGAAATCTTGATTCTGAGTTAGTAGGCATAGCTGGCCATATGGGTCATTTTTAGTAATACCCATTTTGATGTATAGAAAAACTGTAGCTATTCTTCTACAAAGAATGAATAGACAAGAAATAGCTAGTCTCATTCTTCTAAGTAATAATTCCAGCCATTGCTTCACAATCAGGATTTAAATGTTATCATATTAAATATAAATAAAATATAGTATTAATATTTGGAGTAAGCAAACCTGGCCGTAGGTGAATAGAAACTTTTCCTGGTGTCACTTGCATATTTGCTTCATGGTCACTGGATGTTGTTATACTATTCATGGGATTTTCGATGAAATCTGATTGGCATCCTTTTTTTATTAAATTGAAGACAGTGTCACACCGTCTACTTTGTGTTGCTTCTCCCATGAAATCCTGTTTAGAGAGAGATAAATACATAAAAGTCATTTTTAATTTAAAAAGTAGAAAACTCTATAACCTCTTCAAAGGAGAACAAGTATTTCAAACTTAAAATAGGCTACTATAATTGCACAAACTGTAGTTCCTGTCCATTGATGCCATATGTTTTTAACAAAGACAATGACAAAAAAGGTTTTTTTAAAATAAAAATTAAATCTAATTGTAATTTTTTTCTTAACAGGCATAAAGCTACCTTTAAATCTTAAAGAAAATAATGTTATGCACAAGATACCAGATTTACCCAAAGAACCTTGTCTGCCTATGTCCTTAGACCAACACGGCTACAACCTATACCCATGCACACATAATAAAATCTTTTGGACTATGTTCACTATAGCAATTCCAGAAAAGAAGTGTTACTCACATTCTACTTCAAAATATGTTTCTCAGTTCCCAGGGGAACCTGCTATTAATTTTATTTAGTATTTTTAAAAAGAGGTGCCCTGATTTTTTTAATAGCCATTCAAGCCAGAATTGACTGCATTTGAAAGCCTCTCCTGAATCAAGTCCAGCCCCTGCTGTATTTGCAGGCAATTGCTGACTCAAAATCACCATTTCCAACCCTTACACACAACTACACAGCATAAAACCAGGAACACCAAGGACAAGTACATCATAGATAAAAACAGAGAAGATGAGAGTACTGCCAATGGCCAGCCACTGAAATGACAGGGAAGTATCTGGTGATTGTGACAGAGGACCATCTAGGAGCTGGGATCTCATGTTGGCCTGCCAACCTGTCTAAGTAGGGCAGTCCACCCAGTCTCACCTGCCACGACTTTGCTGTTCCCAAAACTGATGTATACATACAGGAGGCTGCCCATTTTTAATGCCCCGATCCTAGGGGGCACTATACACAACTCCAGCCTCCCCTTATCGTGTCCCATGCCTCGCAGGTGGCATCCTTGAGTTGCTCTAGGCTCTGGCTTGTGGCTGGGCCAAACTCAGTCCCTTGCTGAGTCTCTTGCATTTATACATTCACTCCGCTCCATCAGGCCTCATTCCTATTGCACCCCTCTCACTGGGGCCTCTTGCACTCCGCCCACTTTCACTAGGCCGCTTACATGCTGCCCCTCTTTAGACCTCAGCCAAACTGCCCTAATCCCTTGAGTGACCACACAGGCCATCTGGCTTGCCTACCCATGCTCCTTGACTGGCCCTGGCACAGCCTCTTGAGCCCTCTCACAAACCTCATCTGAACAGTGGCCAGCCAATTCTCCTTGCCCTGAGCAGAGTTCTGACCTGAGCCCCTCTCTGGATAACTTGTTACTCTTGCTCCCTCCTTAGGGCCAATAACTCACCATTTTGACCCAAACTCATACTCACCAGGTCTGAGGGCCTACTGGGGTCTCCCTCTGATCCAACATTTGGCCTCACCACATCTGAGGATTTACTGGGGTCTTGGACTCTGGCCCAACTATGGCTTCAGGTGTCCATAGACTTTCCTTGGCCTCACTTCCCCCTCATGAGGCTTTAACTCATGCCCTCTCACCAGGGCCTCACACTTATGCCCCGCTCACTGGGGCCTCTGGGGTCTTGCACCCCATGTGGCTCAGGTGTCTGGAGATGTGCCTGGCACCCAGACCTTTCCCTGGGTCTAGGTAACCCACCAGGATGTTCGGCCTGGAGTTTTGAGGCACCCCTCCTTGACTTTCACTGGGGAGGTAACTGGCATGGCATTTCTGGGGGACTGTCCTGCCACCGATAGCCCCACCAGACTACCTTTTTCCAGCAGGGTGCAATTTTCATTCTTACCCAGGACCAAGCAGGTCTACCTTTCCTGGTGTCCTCCCTACTGGGCTACATGCTGTCCTGGGGCTGCTACTGGCTGCCTCTCCCCCAGAGGCACTGGCTTGCACTGTTCAACATCTTCATCGGCTACTTGGTTAAGGGGGTAAAAAGGACCCTGTTCAAATTCACAGACAACACTAAGATGCGAGGGGAAGTGAGAACGCTAGAAGGGAGGAATAGGCTACAATCGGACCTAGACAGGTTACAGGGGTGGGTGGATGAGAACAGGATGGGTTTCAACACTGACGAGTACAAGGTACTGCACCTGGGGGGGAAGAACCAGCAGCATACCTACAGGCTGGAGAACTCCCTTCTGGGCAGTGCAGAGGCAGAAAAGGATCTTGGGGTCATTATTGATGCCAAAATGAACATGAGCTGACAGTGTGGGGACGCGGTCAGAAAGGCAAATCGTACCTTGTCATGCATCCACAGACGCATCTCCAGCAAGTCCAAGGAGGTGATCCTCCCCCTCTATGCGACACTGGTCAGGCTGCAGTTGGAGGGTCAAGTTCTGGCTGCTGCACTTCAGGAGGGATGTGGACAACATGGAGAGGGTCCAGAGGAGGGCCACACACATGATCAGGGGGCAGCAGGGTAGGCCCTACGAGGAGAGGTTAAGGGACCTGAACCTGTTCAGCCTCCACAAGAGAAGCCTGAGGGGGGATCTAGTGGTCATTTACAAACTAGTCAGGGCAGACCAGCAAGCATTGGGGGAGTCCCTGTTCCCCCGAGCACTACCACGAGTGACTAGAAATAATGGTCACAAGCTGGCAGAGGGTAGATTCAGGCTAGACATCAGGAGGTACTACTTCACTGTCAGGATCTGGAACCAACTTCCAAGAGAAGTGGTGCTGGCTCCTACCCTGGGGGTCTTTAAGAGGAGGCTAGACGAACACCTTGCTGGGGTCGTTTGACCCCAGTACTCTTTCCTGCCATGGCAGGGTATCGGACTTGATGATCTGCTCAGGTCCCTTCCGACCCTAGCAACTATGAAACTATCATGACCCAGGCCTGCCCCTTGCACTGGGCATCAATGCCCTTTGGCGTTCTGGCCCTGGCCCTCTTGCATTGGCCAGTTGGAGTGTTCTGGTCCCAGTGTAGCAAAACCCCCCATTTTTCTTTTTTTTTTTTTTAATTTATTTTAAAATGCATTCCCTCCCCTTCCCCAACCTTTTCTGACTTTTTCTCTCCCTCTCTATTCCCTATATATAAAGTATAAGTGAGCTCTGACTTAGGATAAGCTTTAACATTTTTATTTTGGTAGCAAGTTTTTGGTTTTGGATATCCACTGTTTTATATTGTATTACTATTAGGTTTGTATTGATTCTTACTGTTGTATATTGTATTATTAGCATTTTCGTATTGATTTTTATTGTTTCATATGGATATTGTATGGTTTAGGCCTGTGTTTGTAAGTGAACCAAAGTCATGTCAAGTTTCCATTTTATATGTCAAGCCTCCATCCTGCGTCCTCTGCCTGGGCATCCTGTGTTGCAACTGTATGAGTCATGTACCCCTCCCATGTAAATTGGTTCCTGGATGAATGAGAATGATTGGGAATGACTGAAATACAATGGTAGCAGGCTGCTACTGAATGGCCTGTAATGACTGGGCCATCACCTCGCATTGATTCATCCAGGAACCATGGACCTCACCCAGGAACAGAGACAAGAACCCAGCTTTTGAAAGACAAAAGACCCTGCAGAGCCAGCAACTCAACCACTGTACCCCACCATTACAGACACTCGAAACTGCACATCCCTGCATGCAGCACGTATGCTCAGTACAGCAGGGGCTGACCCTTGCCTGGGCATGCATCCTGTCACTAGGGTCACACAAGGTCTGCCCCTATAAAAAAGGGGCAAGGAAGACAGACCCAGTGGGGCGCCCTCTCCATCTGGACCAGCACCATGCCACACCACCTATCCACCCAGAGACCCTGCCGGCGACCCCCTTCTGGACAACACCTACTGGACAAGGACCCCTTTCCAGCCTGGATAGGTAGATATTTCCAGCACACCTCCTCCTACAATTTGGACTCTCGCTCTCTTTCCTCCTGGACTCCAGGGAAAAAAAAACACTATGTAACAGGGGCTTACCTAGCTTTTGTGTAGGCCTTCTGACCATAAACCCTTTCCCAGGCTGAGCCAAACTCTTCAAGCCCATAGCCTTCTCTCTGGGGCTTGGGACCTAACTGGGCACCTAGGAGCCTCCTGCCATCCCCATAGTTCCTTCCTTACCTCTGAGGTATTGTGAGCAGCAGTTCAGCTGGGTGTTGTTGCTCCCCAGCTGCTTGCGGCAGACTGCTTGCTCAGCCCTGTGGGCCTGGATCTAAAATGGCCACCTCATCAGGGCTGGCCTACACCTGCTGGCCTCCTGCTCTCACTTTAAGTGGCAGACAGCAAAGGTGCTCTGCCACAGTGATATCTGCTCAAAAATTCTAGAAGGATGGCCATGCCCAGCACTACAGATGAAGGTGTGTAGTCCTTGCCAATCTGACATAAGGAGAAAATTCCAGTCCACAAATCTGGACAGAAAGACGCTGTAGCTAGGAACTTCTGAGTTAATTGCAAAAGCATCAGAACCCCCAACTCAAAACTTCCCAGCATTAGCTGTGGCCAATGTTCCAATGCTTCAGAAGAAAGCAAAACTGTACTCCTCTTTCTCCTTAATGTGGATGCATTGGGGCCCAGCTCTTGTTTTTCTAGGCTAGGGACAGAAATTACACATAAACTGGCATTAAAAGTGATCAGAAACCAGTTCAGATCTGTAACACAATAGAAATTCAATGCACATGAATCACTTTCAAAATGGCCAAAACCAGTTAAAGATAAACGTGGATGGATGTACTATCAGACTTAACTGATTTTGGTTAAATCTATTTATTGAACTTCTGTCCCACATCCCTTCCAAATTCCAGTTAACTCACTGTCTTCCAGGATGCAAGGAAGCTTTGAACCTCCTCCTGCAAACTCCTCCTTGTACGGTGGGTGGATTAACCTAGGCCAAAGCTGTCTGTTCCATCTGAGCAGGGAGGCATGCTCTAGTGCCTCCTGGCTTCTGGCCTAAGCCACAGCAGGCGTGTGGCCACATTTCCAGAATCAAAAGTGAATATCAGTTCACTTGCCTATAGGTTCAATTTATGCAGTTTAGACTAACCTGTG